AGAGAGAGAGAGAGAGAGAGAGAGAGAGAGAGAGAGAGAGAGAGAGAGAGAGAGAGAGAGCATTTAATATTAAATAATTATATATATATATATATAAGACAAAACTTCATAAATGGTCCCAGTGCTAATGAAATGACAGAAATGCCCTTCACTTAACGGCCAAAAGCTAACGGAGTTAGCGAAAAGGACCATTTGTTAAAAGTTTTGAAACCACAGGGACCATCTGTGAGGTTTTTTGAACTTAGGGACTAAACTTGATATTTTTGGAAACCACAGGGACCATTTTTGAAGTTTTGTCTTTGTTTAAACACCAATAGCTTAGTTCTTTTTCTCTAAAAAAATCATTGCAAGTGAAAATTTGAACAAATTTCAGACTATAGTGGTTTAATAGACTTCGAAATCTTGTAGTAATTGTGAACTTTATCACTATATGGGTATTCCTTGTCGTGGTTGGTGTTAGACGTTATGTTTGTTGCGTAGTTTGCTTTTCATTGTTGAGTGTTGACAATGAAGTTTTGAAGGTTTCTTCAAAATTAGTGTTAGTGTATGAATATACTTTTACTGATTTTTTTTACGGTTTATCTTTTAAAACCTCGTTCTCCATATGGGCTTAACCTTCTTCAAAATTTAAGTTTATTTGTGGTCTTTTTATGGAATCCTTATATCTTTAATCGTCTCCGACATTTGCAATGATTCATTTGTCGAAATGCACATTTGTGCATTTTAAATCCTGCAACTAAGTGTTTGCAACAACCAAAAAGCCAATCATAACTATTTTAGACACATGTTTTCGGGTTATCTATTAGTATTACAACTGGAACTATTAATTAAATTATGTTATGCAAAAGACTTATGATAGGTAAATTAAACCAATTATAACTTAAACAAAATATTTAACTAAAAGATTAATATTTAAACTAAACTAATCAAACTAAACAAATTAAACCAACCATATTATATATTAACTTAGAATTATGAAAATTTACATCATAATGATTATTGAAAATGCTATTAGAGTCGGATAACTTGCATGCACCGACATAAGTATTTGATGTTTTGTTTTAATTGTGTGAATTTATTCCAAATTGGTGCAATATGATTTCCTTTATTACATTCCTCAAGTGGTGTGTTTGGTTCAAAATCGGATCGACCGACTCAATAACTATGTCTTTTGACTCGGACATTTTTTTTGATTGTTTGAGAGAATTGAATATTGCCTTGGGTTAATTCCAATAGACCAAAAAACAACGGAAAATACTTGCATTTAGAGTTAATTCCAATAGACCATGCGCTCCTTGAAATAGCTTTTAACGGAATCTATTTCTGTTAGGTCGGTAACGGCTAAGGTGCAAAGGAGCTGCTACAATATTAAATTATGGGAAGTGATTTGTACACAACAATTTTTATTCATACATAATTTTTACCCTCACGGAATTGAAAGGGTTAGGTAGAGAACCATTAATCATATCCACAATGAAACCAAGCCAAAAGAATTAAATCCATAATTATAAAAGTCGATAGACGGTATCCAAAGAAATCAACCATAAAGGCCAAATTTAAAATTTTCGCAAAATAAGTTCATACCATAAAAATGAAAGAACAATGTTTTCTTTATCATATCCATGATTTTTATAACCACTTGAAACAAAGTTGTAGTTCACACAAAATTTTATTTAATTACATAAATTGGTATAAAAATCAAAATTGATTTTGTAAAATGTAAACTTTTTTTTTTAAAAGATGCAAATGGGCTGATTTTGAGTGTCAGGGCCGATTATCCACATACAAGTAGTGAAGTAGATAGCACAGGTCACAACTCACATGCTCGTATCTGGTCGACTGGTCGTATATCTGGACCCGACTCTGATTTACTTTCATAAAATTCACTGCCAATCATATTTAATTATAAACGATATACTGTATCTCTACTTTCTTTTTATTTTTTATATAGAACTAAGAACATATTGGAATCAATTTTTTGTATATATTTTACATTGTTTACATGTTTTCTTTCTGCTGATTCATTGAATCTAAATTACTTATTTTTTATGTAGAGCTGATAGCATATTGGAATCATTTTTTTTTTTACATTGTTTACATTGTTTTCTTTCTATTGATTCATTGAATCTAAATACTGTAATGAGGTATTTTATGTATATTTGGTTTTTTAAAATCAGACTCCAACTCATCTATCGTTTTCAAAATCCTGTTCAAGTTTACATATGTAAATTTTAGGCTACGTGATATATCTTTTATCTTACTGGTCTGGTCTTATAAAATGTTGTGTCTAATTTGGTCAAATTCATATCACATTTAGAAGCCTATAACTTGGTTCCAATATGTCTCTTACTTGGTTAGATTCAAGGTTGTGGCTGATTCGGTTAAACTTTGATTTAATATGATCTGTTTTAATCAACAACTATCAAACAACCTTGAACGATAACGTTGCAAGCCTTATATGAAAGTTTTTTTAAAAAAAATTATATATGTTTGGCACTAAAAGGTAAAAAATCAAACAAGTTCACAGTGGATTCCCTTCACTATCTAGCATCTAGCGTGTTCTCAATTCTGGAAGCCATGCATTTTCCTTGGTTGAAAGTGGTTGCACTTAGAATCAACACTTTTTGTTGGAAGTTTTGGCAATATAGAATGCCCACAACAACAAACCTTATCAAAAGGGGTTTGACATTAACAGAAGCCACGTGTACTTTTTGTCATACAAGAGAAGATTCCACTCTTCACTTGTTCTTGGAATGCAAATTTGTAATTGTGGTTTGGAACAGAACTCGCACTTGGTGTGTGGGTTCACTTGTTTAAACCCACGAGATATTAGATCTCTATTTAGTGCTGTTGTCAAAAACCAAAAGGGCGACAAATCTCATTCACATGATTCTAATGACGACTTTATGGAATCTTTGGAGATCAAGGAACGAAGCAATTTTCAAGAAGGCGAAACTTTGCCCCGTGAAAGTGGTAGACCAAACTATAGTGCTGGCTTTTACGTGGATAAAACATATGGGAAAAATGAACTCTCTATGCTAGGAGAAATGGTGTAACGAGCCTATCGGTTGGTTATGATGTTGTCTCTTTTATTTT